CCCCCGCCCTCCCCCTAAAAATGTCTTATTTTCCCCATCAGCATCAGGGCACCCTAGTTGATGTTGCTAATGATTTGAGGTGGTTTTATAATTGTCTTGTCCTTGTGTCCATCTCCTTTTCAGACGCCAGGGATCTCAAGTGTGAACCCACTATTATGCATGGCTCCCTGCCTGCCTCCCCCCAAACCCTTACTCTTTAGGAGCCCAAGGTTCTTCTTGTGACTTCGAGTAACCCCCATCTCATCTGACCAGCTGCTGCCCACTTGACTCTAGAAATCAGCCCTGAGTACACGCGTTGTCACCTGTGACTTTATCCGTCAGGTACCAGGCCTCGTGTGTCCTCCTGGCCATCGGTGTCCTGTAAAACTCGCCCAGGAATCTCCCAGTTTACCACGCCGAGGGGCTAGACGCACTTCCTCAGCGGCCCCACGATACACACTCCACGACCGAGCATGACTGGGCTCCAGGCATGAACCTGCGTGTGCTCAAATCTTCTCTCCGATTTACTGGATACTAACCCAGAGATAACGTAGGGCAACGTTTCTCTCAGTTAGACCACCTGGATCACACCTTCCTGAGCCCTACCCAAACCTCCTGCATGCGAGGCCCAGAGAGGACCATCCTATAAAGCGGAAATTTGAGAACCCTGGCCGATGGGAGGAAAAAGGAAGAATAACCCAGAGCTCACCTGGGTCACACGTGTCTTGCTTCTCTTTCAAGCCCCAGCCAACGAGGGGCCGGAGTTCACCCCCGTGGCTGGTTTTCACAGGGAGGCGAGGCCCAGGGTGCACTGGGTGACTCCTGCGCACCTTCCGCTGGAAGAGACCTCTCTTGTGGACCACCCTCTTGTTCCCCTGACCCTCTATTTTCCCCGACTTTCCAAGTCTCCTCCCCCTACTATTATCTTCTGGGGATGATCTGGGCTTGGCATTGTTTTCTACAAAATAGAGCACCAACAGGATCCAAAAAATACATATAAGAAACACCAACTAGTGCACCGTGACTGTGCGACTGGGTAGCTTATCTCCGCAGCCACACAGCCACGCTGGTTACCTGCCACCACAACCTGCTGCAGGAAGCAGTCAGCCGGGACGTTCACACAGCAGAGGAACACGCCCCTGTGTGCATGTGTTTCAACAATAAGGCACGCACTGTCCTTCCATCGCAGTCGGCAGAAATGTAAGTGCACATTCTGTCAGTGACTGATTACACACTATATCCCCACAAATATTCTAATCGTCTGACACCAGAAAGTAACAATCCTTTACTCAACTACTTCACTATCACGTGCTAGAATAACAAAGACCCCTCGCCCCATAAAAGGAAAACCTCAAGTACATTCACCACGAAAGTGCATGTTGCATTCGTATGACCAGACTAGGCCTCCAGGCCGCACATGTGGCGGGAGTCCATGAAATAGACAGTACGGGCGTCTCCCGTCAGAGGCAGCATCTAACACAAAAGTATATTTGACATCAGAAACGAGGCCCATTTGAGAGCCTCCAGAATAGGAAAGGGGAGGAGGGATGCCAACGCACACCGCACACACAGATGCAGATGGTCCCACTGGCCCAGCTGCTTTCTTCATCAGGGCGGGCGAGAGCATTTTACCCTAAACCGAGTCCCCAGGCAGGTCCCGGAGTCCCAGGCTGGGCCGCTCACAGTACGCAGGCCAGTAACGTTGGGATTGCTCAGCTCAAAAAATGCCCAAGTGCCCATCAGCAGAGGAGTGGATTAAAAAAAAACAACAACTCACTGAGCCATCAAGAAACGGCAAAGGAAAAACACCGCTTTTGGGTGAAGGGGCAGCATGTTGTGTTGCTTTGCTTCAATCGGTGGTGTGACAAGGTAAAAAACAAACAAACAAACAAACAAACAAACAAAAACCAACGATGGTCCATTTACACCAGGGAATACTACCCAACAATAAAAAACAAAGAACTCTTACCATTTGCAACAGCAAGGATGGACCTGGAGAGCATTATGCTGAGCGAAATAAGCCAGTCAGAGAAAGACAAGTATCCCATGATCTCACTCATATGTGGAATCTAATGAACCAATTAAACTGGAGATAAATATTTTGATGATCAAAAATAGACCCAGAGACATAGAAGCATGAACAGACTGTTGAACCTCAGAGGGTAGGCAGGAGAAGGTGGGGGGAAGAGATCAGCCAATGAACTTGTCTGCGTATATGCATAACCCATGGACACAGGCAATGAGGTGGTGAGGGCGGTGGTGGGGAGATAATGGGAAGGAAGGAGGACCCATGTAATACTTTCAATAATAGAGACTTCTTTTTAAATGCCCGCGACCGTCAGTGATCTGAAGTGCAGCTCTGGCTGCGGCTTTTAGAGTCACTGTCACCCCATCCGTGCTCCACCACCAGGTCAGGAGGCCAGCACCACAGGGTTACCCTGCCCCAAACTAGGACAGACAGTCTATACTCAGACCTGCTCTCTCGCGGCTAAAGGAAAACCTATTGGATGGCGTAACGCTGTCTATTCCATTAGGTCAGTGGTCCGCAAACCGCAGCTCGCGAGCCACATGCGGCTCTTTGGCCCCTTGGGTGTGGCTCTTCCACAAAATACCACGTGCGGGCACGCACGTACAGTGCGAAGTTGACTTAAAACTTTAAGTAAAGTTTATTAAGTTAATTTTAGGGAACGTTGTGGAGTGAAAGAAGATGTAGTGTCGAGGATGGAGAAAGGTATGTTGAGATGGTTTGGACATACAGAGAGGATGAACGAAAGGAGATAGACAAAACAAGTATACAAGACGAGTGTGGATGGGAGAGTTGGAAGGGGTCGACCTCAGCGAACGTACCTCAATCAGATTGAGGACGTTTTTAGCAAAGGCCAGCTTAGGAGCACCCTAATTAAGTTAATAACAATGTACCTACCTATATAGTCTAAGTTTAAAAAATTTGGCTCTCAAAAGAAATTTCAATCGTTGTACTGTTGATATTTGGCCTGTTGACTCATGAGTTTGCCAACCACTGCGTTAGGTGAAATGAACACAAATGTAGCTGAAATCTTGAAATCTCTCCGGAGAAACGTATTTTAAAGCAGTTAATGCAGGAACAATTTTTTTAAAATTTGCGAAACACCCGTCTTTACTCTTTGCGGAATAACAGCTCCTACACTATTGGAACTGAAGATGCCAGCGGCGACGCTGAGGCAAGCACTCGTGGTCCCGAACCACTGCACGGTCAGGAGTTTGCCGTGCATCCAACAGCCAAGAAGAGAACGAAATGGCAAGAGCCACGTTGTAAAGATTCAGGAAGTTCTTCCCTTCAGATTCGCTGGAACCAGGGGCCCGGGATGTTTAGGCATTAAATCCTCTCTGAGAAAGCATCTATCTACGAGGCTTCAGCGCCGACCCCCTCTGGAGGGAGGGCAGGGCCTCTTCTCTCGGGCTGTACGCGATCATGCAGGGCTCACACCGGAAAGTCGATGTGAAGGAACACGTTGGAAGCGAGGAAACGTGAGGGTAACAGCCAAGGTCGGTGAAGAACACTCACTTCTTTCCAAGAAATTATCATCCCCCCCCCCCCGCGCCCCCCACACCAGCCCGATGAAGTAGATTGAACCTGACTGCAGTCTAAGCAGCCCCTCCCATGTTGAATGTGGAGAAGCAGCATCAAGTGTGAACATTGCGTAAGATCACGCTTCGGCTAAAAGGACATGAGCTGGGAGCCAGTTCCAGCATGTCAGCAAGGGCCGAATCATCTGGGAATGGCTAAAAGGGCATCCTAATCTACATATTACTGCCTCCTACTGGCCAAACACCCGAACAGCCACAGGTGAATTCCCCCATTCCGACAATGCTTGAGTATACGGAAACCTTACCCTTTGGAGTGTATATCTCTGCCTTAGGACGAATTGTGTTAATAAAAAGCAAGGGGTCCTGAGACGAGGAGATCTTAGGCTCCTCTGGCCCCCAAATGCCTTTCAAAATTATGCTTCGTCTCTGGCCTCTTTATTAAGTTACACACAGCCCTTCTCCAGATTGCTGAACCCTTCTAGATGCTGGAACAAGGGCCCCGGCAGATGTGTAAATAAACGACACTCCAAGATGACACACTTCGGCTCAATATAAACTTTTAAAAAAAATCGACCCTTACGATTGAGCCAACTGAGCCACACAATCATGGCAGAAACCCTTAAGGGACTGAGGTATTTTTTTCAAAATAGATTTTTATTGATTTCAGGGAGGAAGGGAGAGAGATACAGAAGCATCGATAGTGAGAGAGAATCCTTGATCGGCTGCCTCCTGCACGCCCCCTACTGGGGATGGAGCCCACAACCCAGACAGGACATGTGCCCGGACTAGGAATTGAACCCGGGACCCTTCCGTCTGCAGGCCAAACCAGCTAGGGTGGGACTGAGGTATTTTGATTCTTCAAAACCACGGGTGTGCAGCACTGGACAAAGGTGCAATTAAATGGCAATTACAACGAGCGACAAAGGATTGAAAATAACTCTGAACTCCTGTTACATCCAATGACCTGAGCGCAGGGGGAAGTTAGGGCACCCCGGCCAGGAGGTAGCCCAGCGAAGCCTTCCGATGGCTCCATCCCTCGGAAACACGCTGCGGACAGCCTGGAGATAAACACTTTGACGAGACAACTTCAGCTGAAGAGCAAGTGTTTTTTTTTAATAAGGAAAACAAGGAACCCTGGGTTCTTAACATATACTTTTTACAATAAAGGAATATTCGCTTCCTGCTCCGGAGACGGGTCCACTGGTAACAGGAAGAATTAATTGGGGTAAATCAATTCGCCTTCTGTGCCTGAGTTTCGTGGTCTGGGCTGCGGGGATCGGAATATCTGTGCCAGGTTCCTCATAGGGGCGGCTCGAGGGCAAAGAAAAACACCGGAAGCACTTCCTTTTCCCCAAAACACAACGTAACTGTAACTGCCGCAGCGACGCCGTCACCAGCCGCACGGGCACCTCTCGGTGTGGCCGGGCAGACGTGAGCTTACGGTCGGCGTGTCCACAAGATCGCAGGCTGAGTGTGGAGCTTGGTTTTTATTTTAAAAATAATAAATCACAAAACTAAAGTGTCTGAACAAGGCCACTTAACCCCTGCCCAGGCGTTGGTTACAAGACTACGATCTCATTGCTGTGTTTTGGAGCTAGATCTCCACTACGGCGGCCTAACCGGGGAAGCGTCTGTCCCTGCGCAGGCGGCGGCGGCGGCGGCGGCGGGGGAAGGCCGGTCCTCCAGGAGCCGCGTCCTCTGCTTCCAGCCTCTGCCTCCGGCCCCAGGGGCAGAACCCGGAGGGGGGACGCGGGAGCCCCGTCCGTCACTGCGGGACCAGCTCCCGCAGGGAGGCCAGCGCCGCGTGGATGCGCACGTGCAGTCTGTTCTCAAAGTCGTAGCCAGAGAAATCCTCCTGGAAGAACAAGCAGGCACTGAGGGCCGCGCGGCGGAGCCACCGGGGGTGAACCCGAGTTCCGTCCGTCCCCAGGGACACCCGCCCACTCCCGCCAAAGGCTCTGCACCCACTTGGTTTTATTTCCCAATCGCTGAGCTTTGGGATTTTTTTTTAATATCTTTTATTGATTTCAGAGAGGAAGGGAGAGGGAGAGAGAGAAACATCAATGATGAGAGAGTCATGGATCGGCTGCCTCCTGCACACCCTCTATTGGGGGATCAAGCCTGCAACTTAGGCACATGCCCAGACCTGGAATCGACCCCAGGACCCTTCAGTCTGCAGGCCAACGCTCTGTCCATGGAGCCAAACCGGCCAGGGCGTGACCTTTTTAAAGAATGCTAACTGCAGCCCTAGCTGGTGTGGCTCAGTGGATAGAGCGTTGGCCTGCGGACTGAAGGGTCCCAGGTTTGATTCCGGTCAAGGGCACATGCCTGGGTTGTGGGCTCGATCCCCAGTGGGGGCGTGCAGGAGGCAGCCGATCCATGATTCTCTCTCATCATCGATGTCTCTATCTCTCTCTCTCTCCCTTCCTCTCTGAAATCAATAAAAATAATATTTAAAAGAAAAAAAGAATGCTAACTGCACGTCATTAATGCGTCTCTGTGATGTTTCCCTCGTGTGACTCCTGACACCGTGGTCTTACGTGGCGCTCCATGTAAGCGCCCGTGAGAAATTCTTTAATCGGGAACGTGGTTATGAAATGTCAAGTTACTTTCCACTCCAATAAGAAGAGGGCGTATAAGGCAGGATGAGTGCGCTCATGGAGGGTCTTATGATACTGGTAATGTCACTTAAAACTCAAGTGCTTGCTGACTCAACCATCGCCCCTTTTCCTTTCTGTCGAGTACCACTCCCTCCACGTTCTGCGTGGAGTAGGGTTCGGTATCTGAAAGTGGAGCCGCACAACAAATGAAAGAAAAAGACACGAGATAATTTTGCAATATTGGGGGACCAGGCGGGCAAGTCCCGAAGGACTTCCTCCCTGTGCTTAGGTCTCACCAAGCTTTTATTGATCTGGGATGCACTCATAGCATAGCCCTTAGGCAGGTGACCCCATTAACAGGCAGACTAGCCCATCAGCAAGGGTTTACATAATAATAAATGGGAATTAAGGGAACTAAGGTGGGGATGCTTCAGCTATTATTACCTAAATTAACTGGGTGGTTCCTAGATTAACTGGGTGGTGCAGTTCTGACCTTTGCTAGGACTTCAAAGGTTACTAGCTTTTGGGGGTCTCTGTTTAAACTCAGCTAGTGAAGACAATGAATGGACTCCGGCACCTTTCCAGAAATAGCAACCAGACCACCATTTCCCCAAATCTCTCGAGTTCAGACTCGGTGTGCAGAGGACAGGGCCCGGGCGGGAAGAGTGGGGATGCTTACCTTTGCCTGGAGGAGGAGGGCTCTGCCTCTTGCTACCGTCTGTGAAGACAAACACACATCTCTTAACACCTCCGCCTGCTCACGCGGAAAAGGTTGTAACAGGAGGATATGCAAATTCAGACAATTCAGTCACAGAGATGAGGCGACTGCTCATGCAATGAAGACTCAACTTTCCCTTAACCCAATGAGGTCAATAGATTTACATCAAGACGTTACTCCATGAACAATTTTTCACAACCTTCACTATCAGCCCATAAACAAAAACAGCTTAGAAGAGTTAGAATAGTGCAGGTGAAGGTCTTCCTAAAAGAACCTAAGATTGGTGACAATTAAAAGGCTTATTGACGTCGGTAAGTTATGTCTCGTTATGTGTTTAAGGGTCAGGGTTATGCGACGATCAGGTTTCCGTGGGTTCGTAACTCAACTTTAGGAAGCCCACATATTTGGAAACCAAGTGGAACTTGCTAAAAATTAGAATTTTACAAAACCAGTATCATGTCATTGAGCTCCCAAAAGAAGGCAGCAAGCAAATCCAGCACCACTGGAATCCTATTTTTCAAGAAACCCGCCCCATTATACGTATATACACATCTTCATAGGAATTATCAAGTTAACATATAAGGTATTCTAATGTTTTTAAAGTAATCATACGCGTCATCCCATTTATTCTCACCACAATCCTCATTACAGTGGCAAGACGGGTACTTTTTCATCCTGATTTATAGACGAGGAGGAAGGGTCTGGTTGAGGGGCCGAGCCGGGGGCACAGGAAGGTACATGGCAGAGGATCCTCAAGCACAAGCCACACCACGACCCACCTTCCTCCCTGAAAATGGCCTCGATTCCCCCTCAAGTAAGTTTTTGCCCAAAATCTCATTCCAGAGAAGACATTATCTCCTAAACAGATAGAATTCGTGGCTTCTTGGACTCTCCTTACGGGAAATAAAAACAAACAGCCCCTCCACACCCCTCCCCCCCATTTCATCCATTTCCCTTAAACCAGTGGTTCTCAACCTTCCTAATGCCGCGACCCTTTAATACAGTTCCTCATGTTGTGGTGACCCCCAATTTCATTGTTACAAACTGAATATAATTAAAGCATAGTGATTAATCACAAAAACAATATGTAATTATATATGTGTTTTCTGATGGTCTTAGGCGACCCCTGTGAAAGGGTCATTCGACCCCCAAAGGGGTCGCGACCCACAGGTTGAGAACCGCTGCCTTAAACGAAGGCTGCTTTTGCCTGCGTGCTTGCAGGTTCCCGGTGATGAGCTTCAGGAAAACACGTGAGGTCTTACCTCTGGCTTCTCTAACAGGAGACAGCCCAGCTCATAGCAGGCGTACGGCTGGACGTACAGGTTACTCTGACGGCACAGCTCATCCTTCGCAGCGCGCTGGAAGAACTGAAAGAAAGACACACGGCACTGGACGAATCGACTGCCTCATCGAGGCTCCGTGTCCCACTCAGGCCCATCCCGCTTCAGGGCGGCCATGTGCCGGGGACCTGCGGCTACAGAGGCGGGAAACGTGAACGCACGCTGACCTGATGCTTTTTGTTTTTTGTTAATCCGCACCCGAGAACATGATCCCCATTGCTTTTTTAGAGAGAGATGGAGGGAAAGAGGGAGGAGGGAGGAGGGGAGGGGAGAGAGAGAGAGAGAGAGAAACATCGATGTGGGAGACACACATGGGTTGGTTGCCTCCCACACGCACCTCAACCGTGGCCAGGGATGGGGAACCTGCCAGCCAGGCATGTGCCCTTGACCGGGAATCGAGACCCTTCGGTACACGGGCCAACGCTCTAACCACTTGGCAGCACCAGCCAGGGCTGCTAAACACACATTTGCATTTAACTGTGAGACTTCACTCTGCTCCTTCAACACTGTGTTCACACTTGCCCTCCATCCAACTGAGACTGTGGTCGTTGGTAGGAAGGAGGCCGCGTGTGAAGGAGGCCACGTGTGAAGGAGGCCGTGTGTGAAGGAGGCCGTGTGTGAAGGAGGCCGGGTGTGAAGGAGGCCGCGTGTGAAGGAGGCCGGGTGTGAAGGAGGCCGGGTGTGAAGGAGGCCGGGTGTGAAGGAGGCCGCGTGCACAGGAGGCCGGGTGTGAAGGAGGCCGCGTGTGAAGGAGGCCGGGTGTGAAGGAGGCCGGGTGTGAAGGAGGCCGCGTGCACAGGAGGCCGCGTGTGAAGGAGGCCGGGTGTGAAGGAGGCCGGGTGTGAAGGAGGCCGCGTGTGAAGGAGGCCGGGTGTGAAGGAGGCCGCGTGCACAGGAGGCCGGGTGTGAAGGAGGCTGTGTGTGAAGGAGGCCGCGTGTGAAGAGAGTTGGTAGGAAGGAGGCCGCGTGTGAAGGAGGCTGCGTGTACAGAGCGTTGGTAGGAAGGAGGCTGCGTGTGAAGGAGGCTGCGTGTACAGAGCGTTGCAGGAACCCGGGGCTGCACTAAACCTGGCACCAACCAGCACCCGGGCAGCGTAGGGGTGAAGCCGACGTGCGGGGAGGCTGGGTGTGCGGGTGCCTCTTCTTACCCCCCCCGCCCCTCCGCGGCGCTGCTGCTTACCTGGGCGGCGTCCTCCGTGTTCCCCAGGCACTTGTGGATGGCCCCCAGCAGCAGGTGCTTCAGCCCCACGGCCGCGGCGTCGTCCACCTCGTGGCAGGCTGGAGAAGCAGAGGGCGGAGGGGCACGGCCTTAGTTCCCCACGCATCACCCACAGCGAGTCTTTCACTGTCTACACCACTGGTCGGCAAACTGCGGCTCGCGAGTCACATGCGGCTCTTTGGCCCTTGAGTGTGGCTCTTCCTAAGCCTTAGGAGGACCCTAATTAAGTTAATAACAATGTACCTACCTATATAGTTTAAGTTTAAAAAATTTGGCTCTCAAAAGAAATTTCAATCGTCCTACTGTTGGTATTGGGCTCTGTTGACTAATGAGTTTGCCGACCACTGGTCTACACGCACTCGGTTCATATTCTGCCCCTGAGAACCAGGAGGTCAGGTTCGATTCCCGTCAGGGCACAGGCCCGGGTTGTGGGCTTGATCCCTGGTGGGGGGCATGCAGGAGGCAGCCGATCCATGATTCTCTCTCATCATTGATGTTTCTGTCTCCCTTTCCCTTCCTCTCTGAAATCAATAAAAACATATTTTTTAAAAAATAGGGGAAATCCCTTTAAATATAAAAAAATACGGACGAACCCCAGGGCAGCAGCCGTTTGGGGAAAGGGGTGCTGTTCACACTCACATCTGCATTCGGTCTTTCCTGAGCGCTTATGTGCTGGGAAGTCCCAGGTACTTGAGATACAGCAGAAACAACACAGAAACCCTCTGCCCTTAAGAAACCAACCTTTTGTTGTTGCGGATTCTCCCCCGAGGATACATTCCCACTGATTTTTAGAGAGTGAGAGGGAGGGAGGGAGAGACAGAGAGAGAAACATCGATGTGAGAGAGACACATCGACTGGCTGCCTCCTGCACGCGCCCGGACCAGGGCCAGGGACCTGGGCCCCTTCAGTCCACGGGCTGACGCTCTATCCACTGAGCCAAACTGGCACGGGGCTTTTAAATGTTTTTATGGATTTTTTAGAGAGAGAGGAAGGGAGGAGAGAGAGAGAAACATCAATGACAAGAGAGAATCATGGATCGGCCGCCTCCTGCACACCATACACCGGGGATCGAGCCCGCAACCCCGGCACGTGCCCGAACCGAGAATCGAACCGTGACCTCCTGGTTCGTAGGCTGACCCTCGACCCCTGAGCCCCGCCGGCCGGGCTGGGTTTGGTTTGTTTCTGGGTTTTACCTTGACTCATCCTCTGCAGGCTGGGGAAGGAGCAGTTGGGGAGGGCCTTCCAGAGGTACAGCACTTCCACGGAGGCCAGCACGCACAGCGCGCGGGTGGGCGCCTGCTTCCGGAACCGCTCCGCCTGCAAGGAGTCCGCACGGTCAGGCCACGCGTTTCTTTACAACAGATTCAAACAGGACGTTCATGCTCAGGACTCCGTTCAGGGTGGACCTGGGGCAGCCCCTCCTACAGCGAGCGCCAGGAGGCAAACACCTTCCGTAGGACACGCTCGCTCTCCAGCCCCTAATCTACTGGCAGACGACGCCTCCCTCTCATTCTTCGCCTCACTCCGCCATCGTGGCTCAGGAGGGACCCTGGGAACGTGGGGATGAAACCAGATGCGCTTCCTCCGTTCAGGTGAGAGGGGCTTCTAGACCTGCAGGCGGCGGCTCGGCGGGGTCAGGGGAGGGGAGCCGGATTTCTATATGTGACACGGCACCAGAGTTAAGTTAGGGCTTTTGAAAATGCTGACACGCCGAGCTCGCCATCACTGTCTAGTTCATCCTCAAACTAAGTCACCGGGCGCTCATTCGATAAACATTCGTGAAATGAAAACCACGGGACACTCAGGACGTGGCCAGGAGTCACGTGACCCACAGCAACTCAGCCAACTCTTACTCTTTAAGGCACAGGGCACATTAGGGACGCTGCCCGCAGCCCCGGGCCTGTCTGTCGCACACGGGATGTAATTTTCTTAATCAGGTCGAAATGTGATCTGGCCCAGCCGGCGTGGCTCAGCGGTGAGCATCGACCTATGAACCAGGAGGTCAGGGTTCGATTCCCGGTCAGGGCAGTGCCCGGGGTTGTGGGCTCGATCCCCAGTGTAGGGTGTGCAGGAGGCAGCCGACCAATGATTCTCTCTCACCTTTGATGTTTCCATCTCTCTCCCCCCTTCCCTTCCTCCCTGAAATCAAATAAAAAATATTTTAAAAGAATGTGATGTGTTCGCTGTCCTGGCCCAGGGCCCGCCTACTTGTCTTCTGAGCGACCCAACCCTCCGGAGGATGCTTCCCCCCAGGTGTGCGCGTCGGCTCTCGAGGGTCTGCGAGACCTCCACTCCCTCAAACCCCCACGACTGCTCCGTGACCCGCCGCACACCACGCACCGCACTCGGAGCAGAACTCCGACCAGGCCGCGAACTCTCCCCGGGTGAGCCGCGCTTGCCGGCACGGAGGCTGCCAGCTGTCAATCGGATGCCCTAGGACCCATTCCCAGCAACGCCCGCCCACAGGCCCCACCCACCTTCTTCACGGAGAACTGCTCGATCTGGTTGTTCTTCCTCTTGAAGAGCTTCTGCACCTCCTTGAAGATGGCCTGCGCGCCGTCCACGTCGCCGGCGGCCCCCTGGCAAACTGAGAAACGCCGTTTATTCTCACGTGTCGGAGGGGAGCGCTCTCAGGGTGACCTGGGCTGGTGGCACTTGGAAATGCGGCCACATCAACAAACGGGCGCAGACGGGTTAAGAGCCGGTGACACAAAGGACTGTGCCTCCTGCCGGCCTCAGTCGGGGATTTAACAGCTGTTTCCCGGGGCGGTTCCACCAGGGGGCAGCGCGTCTCCATCTCTCTCTCTCTCTCTCTCTCTCTCTCTCTCTCTCTCTCTCTCTCTCTCCTCAGGCCACGGCAGGAAGTCAGGAGAGCCCAGTCCTCCTCGGACATGGCAGGTGTGTCTGCAGGGGGGCCTGCAGTGTGGGAATAGCGTGTGCTCTGCACCGTGACTGTACATACAACAGGGTCCTCAGGAAACACAAGTGGGAGCGACTGCTCAGGGCCTGAGCCACTTGAAGGACAGAAACGCAATGAGAAAGACGTGCTGGATTCTTAAAAATGCTTTCAAGCCCCAATAAATAAACGTATTTTAGAAAATGCAGCAGAGGGTAGAGGTAGGTGGAGGCTGCTTAGGGCAACAAGCATCCCAAGACACGGACGTGACCAGCCCAGAGGGGGCGGGGGGGGGGGTGTGTGTGTTGCTGAAATGGTCAGTGAGCCAGCATTATGCTGCTGGCCATGCGACAGCACAAAACACGGACGCGCTGGGGAAACGGAGGAAGCACAGAGCCCCGCCTCCTCCTGCCGGGATTCTCCCTCCGCAGACGGTGTGACCGTGAGCGTCGGAAACGGGAGACGTTGCTGCCACAGGGACAGGCAGCGCTGAAATAGCGCGTGTTCTGCAGAGTCGCACTCACCGGCCGTCAGGTAGGCGTAGTAGCACTGTGACCACCGGGACTCGTTCTTCAGCCTCTCGAAGGAGCCAAACGCGTCCTGGAAGTTCAGCTCGATCATGCTGCACCAGCCTGGGAGAGAGCAGGGTCAGGGCAGCTCGATCGGCTGCACCAGCCTGGGAGGGAGCAGGGTCAGGGCAGCTCGATCAGATCGGCTGCACCAGCCTGGGAGGGAGCAGGGTCAGTGCGGCCACCAGCTCCGTGTGCGCCCACAGCCCGGCCCGGCGACACACCTCCACCCCGTCATCTCCTCTGTGAGTGCTGTGTGCACACCACCTGAAAACACTTTCAAAATTATTTTGTTCTCGCCCTAGCCGGTTTGGCTCAGTGGATAGAGCGTCAGCCTGTAGGCCAAAGGGTCCCGGGTTCGATTCCGGTCAAGGGCATGTACTCGGCAGGGTGCGTGCAGGAGACAACCAATCGATGTGTTTCTCTCACATCGATGTTTCTCTCTGTCCTTCCCTCTCTCTCACTCTCTCTAAAAATCAACGGAAGGATTAAAAAGATAAATAAGTAAAAATAAAATTACTTTTTTCTCTTAAATATTTTCAGTGTGCCATTTTGATTAAAACTTCACAGCCGGTGACGCAGTAAAGAGGGAATGTGCGGCAGAGATTTCTATAAAACACTCCCACGTGTGGCCGACAGGGTAAGATGGCCCCGAGCACAGAGTCCTGGCCAGGGTGGGACGGCACAGGGACAGCCATGCCACGAGGCCACAGAGGGACTCGGTGGCAGGAGCAGGAAACTGTGTCGAATTCTAATGTGCAAGCGATAAGGTATTTACAAATGGCTCCAGTCCATTCAGTTAACACTGACTAACGCTGACAACCCATTATCCTAAATTCAAAATCTCATGAAGAATCAAGTATAAAGACACAATGAGCCCAGCTGGGGAGAGTGGGGGGGGTGGCAGCTGAGCATCCACCTATGAACCAGGAGGTCGCAGGCTCCATCCCCAGCAGGGGGCGTGCAGGAGGCAGCGATCCATGATGTTTCTCTCTCTCTCTCCCTTTCTCTCTCTCTACAAAGCAATAAAACATACTTTTAAAAAAAGAAACCATGAGAACCACGGAGACAAGCGGCATTACTTGTGCTACGCTAGCTGCGTCCTGACGACCCAGAGGCGGCAGCACTCGATGAGGACGGAGGCAGAGCAGCCCTACGAAGGAGACGCACCCAGGAAAGCGAGGTCACACTGGGGACAGGAGCCGGCGCGGCTGAGCCGTGAACACGCCGTTTCCCGACCGAAGGCCCGGCCCTCGCACTCACCGATCTCGTACAGACAGACGTGCTGGATCTCCCGCTGGTCCGCGGCGAGCTCCAGGGCCGTGTGGAAGGAGGCCAAGGCACTGTTGATCTGGCACTGCGGGGAGAGGGAAGCCCGTCACGCTGCCCGTCATCGCACCACTACTGCTTCATTCCCAGCAGTCTCCTGAACAGTCGTTACAAACCGCTGAGCGCGTGGGAGAGAGCGGCTCAAAGGCTCCTGGGAAGCCCGGCCGGTGTGGCTCAGTGGTCGACTATGAACCTGGAGGTCACAGTCTGATTCCCGGTCAGGGCACGTGTCCGGTTGCGGGCTCAGTTCCATGTGGGGTGTGCAGGAGGCAGCCGATCCGTGATTCTCTCTCATCATGGATGTTTCTCTCTCTCCCTCTCCCTTCCTCTCTAAAGTCAATAAAAATATATTTTAAAGCGATAAAAACAAAAGGGAGGCAGAGAGAGCTGACACACACAGAGGAGGAGGCGGTGACTCCGGAGGCAGATGGGAGTGGTGGGGCCACAAGCCCGGGAATGCGGGCGGCCACCAGCGCCTGCAAGAGGCGAGGGAAGACTCTCCCCGGAGCCCCCACACCCGACGTCACCCCCGGGCAGCTGGCTGGCTCCTGGCCCAGAACCACGAGAAAATGAACTCCTGTTGCTTTTACGCCACCAGAGATGTGGTACTTTGTTACTCAGCTTTAGAAAATAATACGGTATATTTCTTTAAAAACGGAGAAGTACCACGCTTTTGCTGCGAGAGGCACTCAAGCAGAAATAGAAAGTGCTGAGACCATTATCAGATCGTAATGACATCATCCCAGGAGCAGGCACAGCTCCAAAATCAGTTCTAGTTCCATTCTGATCGCTCACTGAGGAATCAGCATGAGCAGTTGTTGAAACAGTGGAAATACAGCTCCCTTTACTTTCACCCAAATAGTTTAAAACAAAACTGATCTTGGGGAGCCCTGGCTGGTTTGCCTCAGTGGACAGAGCATCGGCCTGCAGACTGAAGGGTCCCGGGTTCGATTCCAGCCAAGGGCACATGCCCTTGTTCATAGGTTGATGCTCAACCACGGAGCCACGCCGGCCGATGCATCCTCCCTTTATCCCCACCTTTCACGAGGAGGCCCTAACGTTGAAGCATTAGGTAACGTTTGCTAACAGCTTTTGTAGATGCCATTTTTACGGCAGATGCAGGCAGGGATCTGGACTCTCTCTGATTTTACTAATGACACCACGGAAGCTCTGACCAAGGAAACAACTCGAGGAGAACCCGCTGAGCTATTTACTTGCAGCCCCTGCCGTCACGTGCAATGCTGTGACGTCGCAGGGAAGGAACCACGGCCCAGGATCCCAACAGCGACTCCCCCTGGGGAAATGTCAGGTCACTACCATTAACTGCGCTGTTCACAAAAACGACGTTCACACGTCCACATTCGATTTGCAAACACAACTGCATCAAGTCTCGTGTGTGTGGAGGGAAGATCGAATGATCTGAAGTAAAACAACGTAAGGATCGCTGGCTTATTTGTGCGAAGTCGCTCAGGGACGAGAACCCTCCCTGTCACCTGTAACACGCAGGACACGTGACAGCCCGCTTACTCACGGGTGACTCAGCGTTAGTGCTGCAGCCGCAGAATCATCCACTTAGAGGCGTGGCCGCAAGGACTCGACAACAGGTTATGCACTTAACCCCACGCCAGGGCAGACAGGCAGGCAGGCAGGCTCGGCCCCTTGGGCACAGTGAGCTCAGGGATCCCCCTCCGACAGCAGCACAGACGGGGTGAAGTCTAGCCATCGACAAGTGCACCTAACCTATTGGCGATGTTACGATCAGCTCCTCCTTCCAGCGGGCAGTCGTCAAACCGCCGGATACGGGAGTAACGACAGAGACACCCTCCGCCGGAATAAAGCCCCCTCACTGTGCGGGTCTAAGGATGAAGGCACTGAGGGCCTGGTGCCTGAGGGAGTGAAGAGAGCCCGCAGGACAGGAGGGAGGGAGGCCTCCGATGAAAGGAATGAACAGATGCCAGGGAGCGGCTCTCCCCGCACGGCCCTGTCCTGCTCCTATAAATAACCACCCGCAGCAGCCGCAGGGCTGCTGCTCTGAGATCAGACCAGGCTCGCTCGTCAGCGACGCAGGAAACGCTGCCAGCAGTAGCTCCGAGGAGGGTCAAGGAGCCAGAGCCCGGGCCCGGCCCTGCCCCCCAGCGTGGGGCACCTCGGCCAGCACCACGGCTGTGAGCCCTCAGGGCCTCTGGCTCTTTTCTCTCCGATAAATTCATCGCCAGAGGGATCCACGTCCCCTTCACTGTTCCTGCCACAATTGTGAGCTCACAGCTAAAAAGCAACACAGCCCTGGCCGGTGTGGCTCAGTGGATAGAGCATGGGCCTGGGACGAAGGGTCCTGGGTTTGATTCCCATCGAGGGCGGTCCCTCGGCTGCAGGCTCCTCCCCGGCCCCAGTCGGGATGTGCAGGGGAGACAACCAATCGACGTGTCTCTCTCACATCCACGTTTCCTTCTCTCCCCCCTTCCTCTCTCTCTAAGCATCAGTGGAAAATACCCTCAGGGCAGGATGAACAACACAACAACAAAAGCAACACCACCTCCACGCATCCCGGGACGGGAGCACCAGTGAAAAACGCAACTTCGTCGTTCAGTCTCGAGAGAAAGCACTAGAGCCACTTTTCCAAGGTCCCGTGGTCCATAGAAGGACCACAGGCCGGGGGAGGTGTGAGAGCCGCCCCACCTCCCGACAGAACCTCCCTGGCAGCAGGACCCTGGAAGGAGGGGCCTGGGGAAGGTGACGTGAGGGTCACGGGAGGGCCGTGAGGGTCACGGGAGGGCCGTGAGGGTCACCGGAGGGCCGTCAGGCAGGTGAGTGGGTGGACCACATGGATAGTACGCGGGCACAGCAGGCAGGGGAGTGGGGTGGACGCACGGATGGCACGCGGGCACAGCAGGTAGCCGAGTGGCGCACACGGAAAATAAAAGCCGCGAAGACTTCAGAGCTGAAGCCGTCCCTGACATGGCAGGTGGTTCCGTGTATAAACATCCATCGTTAGCCACCATGACATTTCAGAGGGGGACCACTAGGAACTGCACGGGAGATAAAGTGTGTTTCCTGTTCTTCATCTAAGAGACTTTCTAACGCTCCTGCCTGCCGCCCAGGCGCCAATCTGGGCTCACAGCCTATACTCTCCCTGCCCCGCCCACGGCTCCGGCTCAGGAGCAGGCAGCGGGCTGACAGCCCGGGCTCCTGAACGCGTCTTCGCGGCCACGACACGAGGGAAGGCACGGACTGTTCCTGGCCTCGGACATGCGGCTCGTGTGTGGCTCGTCCCCAGGCGAGAATTACAGGCGGGTCCGCAGGAGGCTTTATTCAGAACTCACACGGGGCAGGCACGGTACCTCGAGTCGCTGGATGCGCCCCTTGAAGAACATGAAGAGGGAGGAGTTGGGGTAGGCAGCCTCCTTCCTGCGCAGGATCTCCTTGGCCTCCTCCAGGCCCGCCCGGCTGTCGCTGCCGTCCAGGGCGAAGAAGGGGCGGACCACGGTGTGGAACCACAGGAGCGCCAGCCTGCGGGGGGAGAGATGCTGGGCCCGGACCTCCTCCTGCTCTGCTGCTAACACACAGGCGCACGTGTGCGCGTCCAGACACACCCCCACCGGCCCCACCACCCCCAGCTCGCTGCGCCCTCAGAGAGCCGCCCGTTTGAGTGTTGTCGGCATTTGGAAAACTGTGACTTCAGTGACAGACCAGCCCACGCCCCCGGGTGGGACGCGAATCGAGGCGGAAGCATGTAGCTTCCAGGCTCCCGGGTGACGCCATGACTTGCTCATCGAGGCGCCAATGAGACAGGAACTGGAGGCCGGCACGTCCTGTCCCTCCTCAGGGAAGCGTTACTTTTTTGCAAAAGGAAAACGTTGCTTTCTCCCGTGTTCACATACAGGCCTCAGAGTCAGGATGTAAGTGCAGGAGCCACGGCAAAGCCACGGGTTAACGTATAAATGAGGGAGCAGACGAAGGGCCCTTTCTCGGGCCTTCAAAGAGGCTCCATTTAGAAAACAAGTAAGTAAGTTACTAAAAATTCTGTCCCTTCAAATCACCCCTTTCGGGAAAAGTGCCGTCTTCAACGAGGCCCCCCAGGGACGCACTGGGCTCCGCCTTAATGAACAGAATGTTTAACTCACAACCAATACTTTTCTGTAAACGTATGACCTGGCACACGCAGAAATGTGGCTCCCTTTAGAGATCAGGCTAATGTACATTAATAATTCTAACGCTTCCTTTCTCAGAAAACAGTGTCAACATGTAAACAGACAAATGATCACACATTACAAATCTGTTAAGTCAAATTAACGAAGGACCACGGTTTGTGTAACTGAATGAGTTTGGGGAGGCACAAACATTTTTGAAATGAAAATTTAACGACCTCACCCTGGCCAGTTTGGCTCAGTGGATAGAGCGTCAACCTGCGGATTGAAGGGTCCCAGGTTCAATTCCGGTCAAGGGCACATGCCCGGTTGCGGGCTTGATCCCCAATGTGGGGCGTGCAGGAGGCAGCCGATCAATGATTCTCTCTCATCATTGATGTTTCTCTCTCTCTTTCTCCCTTCCTCTCTGAAATCAATCAATCAATAATAATAATAAAATTAACAATCTCTTTAATAGCCACCACATATTATAAATATCCAAATTCCTCAATTCCGACATGAGTAGAAATAGAGCGCTCGAACACTCCCTGTGATATCAACATTATTGGGGAAAATTCTGACAAGTGGTATGACGTCCAAGAACATATAGTGCAGGGGTCCTCAAACTTTATAAACAGGGGCAAGTTCACCAAATTGGAAAAAAAATCACACCATTTTTAACTGATGGAGGATGGGTGGTCCCTGCTCTGACCAGTACACTCTCGTGTTTAAGCTGCCACGTAAGCTCAGACTGAACCACATAATGACTCGGTTTACTGGGCTCACACTGAGGAGCCAAAGCCACATCGAAGAGACCAAGGGACCAACCAGAATCGTCACGAAAATTACCCAAGATGAGGGCAAAAGAACAAAAATTCATAATCACAGAAAGGTCCTGTCAGACTTTCATCCTTGAAATCTAAGAACCGGAACTGGGACCTCAGTAACTGTGGCCAGGGTCCCCAGAACGGCTTACACCCTCATGTAAGGCTGGGAATCGGATCGTTTTACCGTCTGAACGCAGGACCCGTCTGTGAGCCTTAGCACCGGGCCCGGCTCCCTCAGACAGCGTCCACCAACCCCGGAACCACGGCCGTCGGCCTGGCATCGCCAGACAGGAGCTTCGCCCAGCTGCGCGGGGCCCAGCGGTCGAGCACTGGCCCAGGAAGCCGGTCAGGGTCACCGTCTGCCTCCGGGTCAGGGCACAGGCCGGCGTTGTGGGTCGGCGCCCCGTGTGGGGCGTGCAGGAGGCAGCCGACCCATGATTCTTGCATCATGGATGTTTCTCTCTCTCTCTCCTTCTCCCTTCCTCTCTGAACTCAACACAAATAAAAAAATAAAAAAAGGCACTCGCATCCCGTCCACCAAACCCGCGTTTACCTGCCGCGCCTCTCCCGGGCGACTGCTGGCCCCTTACTCTCAACACTACGTTACCTACAAAGCAGTGCAACAGCTACTCACGTAGCTAAAGGGGCCTTCATGTCCTTACTTTCGCTCGCATACATCAGTGAAGACAGCCCCTGGCGGCGGTCTCCGGGGAACCCCAGCAGGTTGATGATTTTGAGCAGGTTGGGGGGCACCATGGAGATGCAAAGGTGGAACAGGCCGTATCCAAAGCTCACGGCACCTCGCAGCCGGCTCAGGGTCTCCTCGGACACCCCGTCCGCCGCCGCGTGGTTGTCGTTGGCGGCGTCGGCGGGCGAGGGCTCCCCCGGCGGCCTCCTCTGGTGCAGCTCCTGCAGCGCGTTGATGTCCAGGTAGCACTTGTTGTAGATCTTCCAGGCTTTCCGGAGGATCCAGCCGCCCTTTATGTACGCTGGGAGGGGAGAGCAGACAGTGAGCGCAGGCACTGCCCCGCACGGACAGCAGAGGGCGAGCAAGAGCGCCTCACACCCGGGCAACACTGCATCCTTTTCATTTTTTTATTTTTTTTTGGGGGAGAGGGGGGGGAGGCTTTATAGGCCATTCTATGACTCAGGGCTGCAAACCACTTAAAAAAAATACTTTAGGCCCTGGCCGGTTTGGCTCAGTGGATAGAGCGTCGGCCTGCGGACTGAAGGGTCCCAGGTTCGATTCCAGCCAAGGGCACATGCCCAGGTTGCGGGCTCGATCCCCAGTCGGGGGCGTGCAGGAGGCAGCCAATCAATGATTCTCTCTCATCATTGATGTTTCTCTCTCTCTCTCCCTCTTCCTTGCTCTCTGAAATCAATAAAGAAATATATTTAAAAAAATACTTTAGTTCTTTTTTAAAAATATGTTTTTATTGGTTTCAGAGAGGAAGGGAGAGGGAGAGAGAGATGGAATGAGAGAGAATCACTGACCGGCTGCCTCCTGCGCGCCCCCCACTGGGGACATGGGACCTGGGACCAGCTTGGGAGAAAGCCTCTGAGAACTAGGACCTGGGGTGAGTGTGCAGCGTAACGGTCACGTCACCCTTATCCCGGCCACAGCGCCCACAGTCCACACTCAGGGACGGATTCGGAGGAGCGACTAACAGTGACCCTCTCGATGGGGAGGGGGGTGACGAACCCCACCATCCCGGTGCTCGGGGCCACGGGGACGGAGACCCTCCCAGCCCCCCAGCGATGACGGCGAAGAGCCCACGGACCGGGAGGTCGCTGTTCGATTCCGGGTCAGGACGCGTGCCCGGGGGTGAGGCGGTAACAACATTCACAGACTCACGTCTACCTGGAGCTCAGGCAGGCGTGTGCCAACCGCTGCAGGGCTGGGGGAGGGGCGCCTACAACAGACACGTCCAAGGAGTTTTTCCCCCAAGAAAATTATCCATAAAAATGTTTTCTGCCCTGACCGGTTTGGCTCAGTGGATAGAGCGTCGGCCTGGGGACTGAAGGGTCCCGGGTTCGATTCCGGTCAAGGGCATGTACCTGGGTTGCGGGCACATCCCCAGTAGGGGGTGTGCAGGAGGCAGCTGATCGATGTTTCTCTCCCATCGATGTTTCTAACTCTCTATCCCTCTCCCTTCCTCTCTGTAAAAAATCAATAAAATATATTTTTAAAAAATGTTTTCTGAGAAATGGGCCTCAGCAAAGCAGGAAATAAACACTTTATGGTGTAACAACCCGGTGGGTTCTAAAAGGCGAGGGAAGCCCACTCCGGGTTATACTTGTCGTTTCAAACAAACACCGAGCTGTTCACAAAGCAAATCACCACACACTTATCAGAGACTGAGGTCTTCGTGCTGCCAGAACCTCACTTCGGTATCAACATCACATTCAGTAAAGCCTATGGCTGGGGAAGAGCCAAGGGCACTGCTTAAACACCTACGACAAGTGGAATCATAACTGATGCAGATCAGCCGCTGGGAGGATGAGAAGCTGTTTCTCAAGGCAATTTGTGAAAGAAATACAGTATATGAGTAAAACATTTTTTTAAAAGCAAACAACACATGCATGTCCAGGAGAAACTGTTTAAATTACAGAATGGCCGGCCAGCGTAGCCCAGAGGTCAGGGTTCGATTCTGTCAGGGCTCCTGCCTGGTGGCGGGCTGGATTCCCAGTGTGGTGCGTGCAGGAGGCAGCTGAGCAGTGATTCTCGCTCATCATGGATGTTTCTATCTCTCTCTCTCCCCTTGACTCTCTAAAATCAATAAAAATGTACTTTCACAAAAAATAAATTACAGAATGTTCATGTTAAACTAATATGCTATTATTTACCACTCAAGATCTAAAAGCTACAAAATTAAAGAAAATATTTCTCTTAAGCTAATTAAGAAATTAGTTTGTATCTCTCTCTAAAGGTTAAAATGTAGGTCATTCAAGTCGACTAGTAAATGTTAGTATGTGCTCAGGCCTTCAATAACGATTTCCTGAAAAAAAACAAACCCAAAAAAAACCCCCCAAAAAACCTGGCATTTAAACCAGCTCTAAAGGTACTGTCACACTTGACATCACCAAGAAAAGGCCTGTCTGTCTGTCTGTCTGTCGGTGGCACTGGTGCCCCTGAGCATGGCCACTCTCTTGAGACGAGAGGATTAACAGAGACTTTGGCACTAAAAGTGACCCACGCGACACCACTCGGAACCGTGGTCCCAATTTCCCGAGTAATAACACGGTTACCGTGCCCCAAAGAGGTGCCACATGCTTTCTTCTTTTCTTTTTTTTAAATCCTCACCCAAGGATATGTTTCCGCTGACTTTTAGAGAGAGGGGAAGAGAGAGGGAAGGGCAGAGAGAAACATCCATGTGGGAGACACACATTGATGGACTGTCCCCTGCACACACCCGACCAGGGCCCGGGCCAGGGAGGAGCCTGCAACTGAGGTATGTGCCGCACGTGCCCTGGACCAGAACCGAACCCAGGGCCCTTTGGTCCACAGGCCGACGCTCTATCCACTGAGCCACACTGGACAGGGCAGTGCCACAGACTTTCAAAGGCTGAAATGCGAGGCTTCTATAATAATAAAAGCGTAAAATGCTAATTAGACCGGACGTCCTTCCAGACAACCTTCCGGACGAAGCCGGAGCTGCGAGGGAAGCCTGGGTCCCGGGTGCCTGCCGGCGGCTGGAGGAAAGCCCAGGTGTCAGCGGCCAGAGGAAAGCCCAGGTCCCGGGAGCCAGCGGGAAGCCGGTGCCGGCAGCCCGGGGAAGGAAGGCCTGCTCTTGCACGAATTTCGTGCATCGGCCTCTAGCCTTGAAAACGAGAGGATCACTGACTGCACACTGAGTAGCGAAGGCCGTTCACAAGGCGCTGCCGGTACCTGAGAGCTCCTGCTTGACGAAGGAGAGCACGGCCAGGTACACCTGGCAGTCCGCGATGATGATCTGCCGCTGCAGCCGGTCCACCATCGAGGGCGCCGACTTCCGGGCGTCCGCCTGCGGAGGGAAGAAGCGCACGGTGAGTCTCCCACAAGAACACTCCCTCCAAGCAGCTGCGAACTTATTGTGCAAAGTGGTTTCGCGGAGACATGGTCGCCCGAGACGCCAAGACCACATGACCCCCCGAGCCTGGCCGCTCCTTACTGACCACGGCTGGGGCTTCATTCTGTTCACAACACAATGATCATAACCCAAAGACCAGAATCCTAACCGATCAAAACCCTGAGCTCATGGGACAAGGAAAGCCAACACAGAACTGCAGGCTTTTACCTTTTATAAAACTATGTGAGTTCCAACTTCTCCAAAATAAAAACCACGAAAGGCACAAAACATTCCCCAAAGTAGAAAGCCTGAAGGCAGCTATCCACCGTCAGGTAGGACTGATATTAGGGTTCATTTCTTAGGTGCCCATAACTGAGATGTGATGGAAACTGGCTACATTCTCGCCTACATGTGTTAAGGGGAGACTTCCCTGGAATTAAAAGGTAGCTTTGACTGAATCACAAATAGAACCCGAAATTTAAGTCCTACTCTGAGGCGATTGTCTCTGTAATAGTTTATATCCCTTGCTAAAAGTTGCTAAACTGTAGGTTACCTATCTATATAAAAGCCTAAGCAACAGGCCAACCGGCAGACCAGCCAGTAGCTATGACGCACACTGACCACCAGGAGGCAGACACTCAACGCAGGAGCGGAAACCACAGGCATGGAAACATGGAACAGACTGATCAATCTCAGAGGGAAGGGGGCAGGGGGGAGGGCGGGAAGAGATGAACCAAAGATCGTATATGCGTACTAGAGGCCTGGTGCACGGATTCATGCCCCAGTGGGGTCCCTCAGTCTGGCCTGCAGGGATCAGGCCGCAACCAGCTCTCTGACATCCCCCGAGGGGCCCCGGACTGAGAGAGGGCGCAGGCCAGGCCGAGGGACCCCACTGGTGCCCGAATCCGTGCGCTGGGCCTCTAGTTTACGTATATTAGGAAATGTGTGCTGAGGACGTCAATAATCATTGCAGGCCTTCAGAAAGAAATAAGCAAAGAGTAAAACCAAAAACCCTGCTTTTTATAAGATGTTGGCCTTTATAGTAAAGAATGTTTCTAAATGAAGAAAAATGACTCTGAAATAAGACGCTGCATTCTTAATACAAAGTAAACCTGAACAAAATAAGCAAAACAGCTTTCATCTGCTTTCACAATGATACGAGCTGATGAAATGCCTGCAAATATGACCACAGGACACACACTATGCCTGACAGAAGGACCAGTTTCCCCCTTTTCAGGATCAGCATAATCATCATGGTCACAGTTGCTCCTGATCTAGGCCCAGCAACCGTTTTTTTAAAAATATATATTTTTATTGATTTCAGAGACGAAGGGAGAGGGAGAGAGAGATAGAAACATCCATGACCAGAGAGAATCATGGGTCGGCTGCCTCCTGCACGCCCCACACTGGGGATCGAGCCCACAACCCAGGCCTGTGCCCTGACTGGGAATCGAACCTTGACCTCCGGGTTCATAGGTCGAGCTCAAGCACTGAGCCACGCCGGCCGGGCCAGCACTCATTGTTTCGTTTGCTTAGCAAAAGTCAGTCTAATCCTTTGCTGGTAATAACATCTACTCTGCGTGTTGCTGGAAGGGCTAACGAGTTCCTGTGTGTGAAAAAGCTCTTTACATCGCAAGGACCCGTCACCAAGGTTAACTATTAACACACGTGCTGGGCAGGACCAGATACTGCAGATAGACATGCAAATGTGCGGACCGCCTGGCGAGGGAATGCCACCTCGCTGTGCATCGCAGGAAGTGCTCTGAGGGACAGAGTGCAGGACCCGTGGGGCCTGGAGCAGACACCCAGCCGGGCTCGGGGCCCGGGCCAGGGTCCTTGTAGGAAATGACTTCTCGGAAGAGGGATGAGTACAAACCAGGTCAGAGGGGAGAATGGCCCTGCCGGTGGCTCAGTGGTTAGAGCGTTGGCCCGCGCACTGGAGAGTCTCGGGTTCGATTCCCGGGCAAGGGCACATACCTGGGATGCGGGCTTGATCCCCGGCCCCAGGTTGGGGTGGGTGCAGGAGGCAACCAATAGATGTGTCTCTCTCACATCGATGTTTCTCTCTCTCTCCCTCCCTCTCTCTCTCTCTCCAAAAATCAATGGAAAAATATCCAAAACAAAACCCTCAAAACAAACAAGGAATATATTTTATAACCAGAAGCCTTAAGAAACAAGTAACGCATTCAGTTATGCTCTAAACACCAAACCCGCGTAAATGAGCAGCGTCCGAAACGAGGGGCCCACGGTCCGGAACCGAAGACTCGGCACTCACGTTCTTCTTAATTTTATTCTTGATGGTTTCGATCACGCCCGCCTCCTCGCTCTCGCACAGCTTCTCTGTCGTTCTTAAGTCATCACACGCCAACTGCATTTTTTCCTCCTCAAATGTCATCATGGCATTCTTCCAAGGGAGAAACGGGGAGAGAATGGATGAATCAGGAAGCGTGTGAAAATTTACACCGAGTTATCACAGCAAAACTCCAAACTACAAAAACATGTAAATTATCTGCCGCACGTAAAAGAGTCAGGACGCTGCATCGTATCCTATCCATTTACAAACAGCGACAGCACCGGCACCTCCGCATGAAATGAGAAAACACCTCTATTGCACCGGCGCGAAGAAACACATGGAAGCAAATGTCAGGCGCCTGCTGCTCTACGATTTCACTTTTAGTTATAACCACGGCGACAAAAGCCCTGTGTCACGTCTGACGGGCCCACTTAGATCAGCTTGTATAACCGAGTCTCGCTGGTAAGTACATTCTTCCCACCCAGGGGCGCTGCCCCATCGGGTACCGCACAGAACCCCGAATGAGACCGCGGGCAGGAGTTCTGTGAAAGGCAGTGTTTCCCGGGACCGCGGTTCCAACGGGCTCAGGGACGGATCCCAGGCTGTCCACAGCGAACACGCCCCGGACAGGTTTGCAGGCCGCCGGCTGGCGATCCCTTCCCCGCTGGACACCTGCTCCTTCCGCCCCGTAGAACTGAGGTTTCCGAGGTGCACGGGCTACGGGGGCAGAGCCAGGCACGGGTTCTGGAAGGATCCAAGGAGGTGGATCACTGTGAGCTCTGCAGTCCCGTCACACTCACCAGCCCGCCTGGCATCCCAGGCCTCCTCAGCACGACCAACCCATTTCCAATCCAGCCAAACCGGACACAGCCCCCCGCCCGCGTCTCCTCACCCCCCTCCCCTTCCCAACCAACCTCGTCTCGGCCTCGGCCGCCCCAGCCCCTTCCATCAGGCTCGAATCCCACCCACCCAGGACCGTGCTCCTGAAAGAAGGCAACTGTTTTCTTGCAAACAGAAGACCCTGAAAACTCTGTTGTCTTCCCCGGCGATACGAGAAAACGGCCCACACGAACACCAGGCCCCCGGAGCCGCTGGAGCCGCTGGAGCCGGGCTGGACCCTGGGCCCGCGCCCCGCGGCTGCTGTCTGTCTTCCTAAATCTCGGATCTAAATGCTTCCTCTATTTCATTCCTATTGGTCGCTACTTGGGGCTTTTTTTCTTTTCTTTTCTGTTACAATTCCATGATGGCTTTTCAAGAAATTAAGTTTGAAAGCAGTTTAGGGGATGTTCCTGAAAAATAAAAGCATCGCATTTCCTAGATTGCGATTTACTTTCAAACCAGCGGCGACCTCGACCCTCAATTCCTGAGATTAAATGACACTTGAAAACGCACCAGCACCCGACGGCCTGGCTCTGCTGGCGTCACTGCCTCCGGCCCACATTTACTCAGTAATTTCAGAGCAAACCTGTATTATTCAAAGTCTGACTTTTTTCATTCAAATGCAGTTTTAATTTTTGGAAAGATATCTCAATAACTACATTTTCACTTAAAATGAATTTTGGTTGGGAAAATGGGATGCGCTATGAGATACAAGCATCTTCTTTTTAAAAAGAGGAGAGAAGTTTTCTTACAGGTGTTGGCTAACAGGCAAAAATCTTTACTGCCATTTTGAACTCTCAAGGGTCCCTCACAATCTGAGTCTATGCAGCAGGAGCCACGGAAGCACATACTAGCCGTTATATGTTCATCGCCTCAGCAGGACCTCCCCACGTCAACTTACCAGAAAACTGACAAAGCTGGCTCCAAAGCTCATCAAGGGGCTATGATTTCTGTTAAAAAAACAAAATAGGAATAATTAACATTTGCGAGGAAGGGATCACCACACAGTCCTACGGACGGGAGAGAAGGGAAGGGCTTCGAGCAGCTGGACTTGCCCTGAGAGGATAGTTAGAGACGCGGAGGTCACTGGTCTGTGGAGACGCCCCCCACCCCCCCTTCAGCGCCAGGGGGACAAGAACGCCGAATCCTAAGAGGGGCTGCCTTCGTGAGCCAGCCCACCACCCGCAAATACATGCCCAAACCGAGGCGGTTAACATTCGTTTTAAAAAAGCAAAACATGCCCGGCCGGCACGGCTCAGCGGTCGAGCGCTGACCCAGGAACCAGGAGGTCACGGTTCAGTTCCTGGTCAGGGCACAGGCCCAGGTTGTGGGCTTGATCCCCAGTGGGGGGTGTGCAGGAGGCAGCCGATCCATGACTTCCTCTCTCATCAATGTTTCTCTCTCTCCCCCTCCTTTCCTCTCTCTCTAAAAGTCAATAAAAATATATTTTTTAAAGTAAAAAAAACAAAAAGGCAAAATGTGTTCAAAACTTTATACACATAAAACAAGGACCGTTCTTAGAGTGGATTGCAGGGTTTTACCGCGGGTCCACACCCCGCAAACCCACTCTCCCCTCCCAAAGAACTCTCAGAGTCAGCCACCCTCCAACCCCTGCCCCCCCCCCCCAACTGGGTGCCCGGTCCCTCCCCAATTTCACGTGCGAGCAAATAGGAAACCAAATCAAACGTTCCCAGTTCAACTTCAGGACACACTCGTTCTGCTTTAGGTTCACAACCACCCCCTAGATGTGCACTGAGAGGGAGAGCAAGTTCTAACCGCCTTCTGACGGGAAAGTAATCCTATCAGCCTTTTAATTATATGAGTAACGTGGATACGTGTTGGAACACGGGACCTGGGACTTGATTGGACAACGTTCTGCACTTTGGAAGATGCAGGCATTTTTCAAAATAAACAGTTAAACAAACATAAAAAAGCTCCCCAATATGCCTCAGGAGCCCTCTGATTTCTTCTTTCTGAAAAGGAACCACCAGTAATAAAACGGCTCTATTTCTCTCTGTGTCAGGACGTCCCCAAGGGTAGAAAAACTGCTGAGAATACAAAGAAGCAATTGCCTGTCTGTTTCTAAATGTACTACCTTCCCGTGGAAACCGAAAACGAAGTTTCTCCAGGATATTAAACACTGGATGGACAGAGACACTGTTCCCCGAAGCCAAAAGGCGGAAACAACCCAAGATGGACGAGTAGATGGACTGTGGTCTAAACAGGGGTGGGCAAAGGTAGGTTTACATTTTTTATTTATTTTTTAAAAAATATATTTTATTGATCTTTTACAGAGAGGAAGGGAGAGGGATAGAGAGTTAGAAACATCGATGAGAGAGAAACATCGATCAGCTGCCTCCTGCACACTCCCTACTGGGGATGTGCCCGCAACCAAGGTACATGCCCTTGACTGGAATCGAACCCGAGACCCTTCAGTCCGCAGGCCGACGCTCTATCCACTGAACCAAACCGGTTAGGGCGATTTACATTTTTTTAAAATATATTTCTATTGATCTCAGAGAGGAAGGGAGAGGGAGAGAGCGATAGAAACTTCCATGATGAGAATCATTAACTGGTTGCCTCCTGCCCACCCCCCACTGGGGATGGAGCCCACAACCTGGGCCTGTGCCCTTGACCCAATCAAACCTGGGACCCTCCAGTCCGCAGGCCAGCACTCTATCCCTGAGCCAAACCGCTAGGGCTAGATTTCTATCTGTTCCTTCTCTATCTTAAGTCATGCACACAGATAACCGACGCTCTCATCTCCACGAATGCCAACGGCAGGTGGAGC